CAGTGTGGGTAGTCCGGGCACTCCAAGCCAGGACTGCTTTGCAAGCGGGGCACCCCTGAGAACTGTCTGTCCGCGGTGGGGGTCGGGACCCTTTAAGCACAGCCCTCGGCTAGCCTGAGACAGCATCTCCACACTCTAAGTCCTCCTCTGATGCCCTGCCGGCACTGCTTCCGGCCATCCTTAAGCCCGGTTCAGGGGCCACTTAATGTGGACATGCTAGTTCGAATTAGCAAAACGCTAATTCGAACTAGTTTTTTAGTCTGGATCTGTTAGTTCGAATTAACGTTGTAGTGTAGACGTACCCCAAGATACTACCTTCTAGGCAGCCCATACCTTCTAGTGACAGACCATGCACCGTTGACATGGATGCACAACATGAGAGAGGCAAACCTACAGATAACGAGGTAGTATCTATTCTTACAGCAGTACACGTTTCAAATAGTACATTGGGCAGGGCGGGACCACGCGAACGTGGACTTCCTGTCCAGGTGTGCCGAGCAGATAAAAGAAGGGCAAGGTAACAAGGAACCGGAAGGGGAGGTATGTGTCGGGAGATCCCACCCCCACAATCCCGACAGCCCGGGACCGGGGCGCAGCTGTGGGACTGGGAGAGGGGCGGGGAGGCCCAGGGGAGCTTGGGCGGAAGTAGGCGGGCGGTAGGGAGATGGGGCCGATGCCGGACCTGGAGGGAGGCACATTGCACGGGGCATTTGAAAGGAGGGAGGGTGGGCTGAAAGGGGGAAAGAGCGCGGGGAGAGGAGGAGGATCTGCTCTAGACCCCCTCATGCAGATCAGGACTAGTACCGGTGCCAGGACCGGGGAAGGCGCAGCTCGGAGCAAGCCAGAGGACGCGGTGGCCGGAGCTTGGTGAAGCCTGACCCAGGAGTGGTGACAGCCCGGGAGCGATGGTTCCAGAGGGACCCAACAGGACCCTGGGAGCAGGGTTCAAGGACCTAGACCACGGGAGCAGTGGACAGGTGGACAAAGGCTGAGGGCGGGGGGGAGGCTCCCTCTGTCACCCCGACTGGGGACTCAGCTACAGAGACATTAAAAGACTGTATTCCTTGCACTATGTAAACAGGTTTCATGGACATGTCTGATCAAAGGAAAGCATTTGTTCTGATATCCTTAGCTAACACTGTCTCTCTTTCTCTTCCTGCTCTGTTGTTTTGTGCCAGCTGGTTACTGCTCTTCATACCTTTGATATTCAGTGATATTTCAGTGATATTGCATAACTTTATCTAGTTTGTAAAGCTCTCTGGGCAGACAGGGTCTATAAAATGTACATTTATTATTGTTTACATTTGCAATTGAAGGGAAAATAAATGAATTGCTGGTAAAAGCTAATTTTGAATTTTACTATTTTAGGGTATGTCTACACTACCCCCCTAGTTCGAACTAGGGGGGTAATGTATGCATACCGAACTTGCTAATGAAGCCCGGGATTTGAATTTCCCGGGCTTCATTAGCATAAGCGGGGAGCCGCCATTTTTAAATCCCCGCTGCTTCGAACCCCGTGTAGCGCGGCTACACGGGGCTCGAACTAGGTAGTTCGGACTAGGGTGCCTATTCCGAACTACCTAGTTCGAGCCCCGCGTAGCCGCGCTACACGGGGTTGGAAGCAGCGGGGATTTAAAAATGGCGGCTCCCCGCTTATGCTAATGAAGCCCGGGAAATTCAAATCCCGGGCTTTATTAGCAAGTGCGGTATGCATACATTACCCTCCTAGTTCGAACTAGGAGGGTAGTGTAGACATACCCCGAGAGTGGGTAATCCAGTACTTGAATTCCTGAAGCTCACAAGCTCTGCGTTGTTGGTTTCCTGCCTGCAATAAGGGCTTAGAAAGCACTTGTTACTCCCAGTCAGAGACTTTCTTGATTGGGGGAATCCCCTGTGAGGGCAGAGTTCGCATAACCCTGTGTGCACCATGTGTGGCAGGCGTATGCTGTGT